GTAGCTGAGAAGGGAAACGCCTTCAACAGTGGATTACAGATAAAATAGCTGCGAAGGGAAACGCTTACAACAGTGGATTACAGATAAAGCTGTGAAGGGAAACGCCTGCCACAGTGAATTACAGATAAGGCTGTGAAGGGAAACGCCTTCAACGGTGGATTACAGATAAAGCTGTGAAGGGAAACGCCTTCAACCGTGGATTAACGATAACATAGCTGCGAAGGGAAACGCCTTCGACAGTGGATTATAGATTATGGCTGTGAAGGGAAACGCCTTCAACAGTAGATTACAGATTATAGCTGCAAAGGGAAAACGCCTTCAACAGTGGATTACAGATAAAACTGGAGGGAAACGCCTCGACAGTAGATTACCTATAACAGCTGCGAAGGGAAAATGCATTACATGGTGATTTGAAAATACATAACTATGGAGGGAAACTCCTTGACAGTGTATTATAGTACCCAAGCGCTGGGCAAAAGAGGTTAGCATGACAAATATTAAATAAGAATAAGAAGTTAAATGGGTGAATGTTAATGGATATAAGCACATGGACAGAGTATTTAAGTAATTGATGAGATATATTATTAGTAATTGAACTGCCCTTGAGGTGATGGAGATGGAGGAGAAATTCAGCCATGAATTGTTGTGATGCTGACATTGGATCCTGTTTTTCATCTTTGCAAAAAGATTCAGAGGAAATCCATTTATAATCATACAAGGAGTGTGTCGAAGGTCTATGATCTAAAGCAATAGCCCTCGACACTCTGGTTGAATAACCTTTAGCGCTTATCTTAGCACTGTTTGATCTTTTGTAGGACACTGGTAAGTAGTACAGGTGGTGGAAAAACGTACGCTTTTAGGAACTTCATGTGTAGATGGTCCACCAGCTGCAAGAATGGAAGGTTTGTGACAGCAATGATGAGTGAGGGGTCCCTTGATTGCGCAGACGTCAAACGATTGTAATGTTGTCTGTTGATATGGCGAGCACTTGATGCTGAAGTTGGTACTTCAAATGGGAGATGGCCAAGATGAGAGCTTCTTACCCCAACTGTTTATGTATCTTAGAGCTGCTCGTTTGACCAGAGCAAGGAGGCAGTCTGTTCCTCCAGATGTGCCCCCCATCCCTGTCGTGTTGCATCGACTAACAGGTGGATAGAGGCCGTCACAAACATTCAATCTCAATGTCCACCAAAGAAGGTACAGGTTGAGGTGAGTCTCATCTATGTTAATATCCTAATACCATAGCAACGGAAAGGAGAACTCAGGCCAAGCAGACCAGACTTAGTCGTAGATGGTGGTGGGTTGTTAGTTGTTAGTACATCAGAGTTTTAGGCATAAAATAATGGACATTTTTAAACAGTATTACGCATATAACAGTTGAGCATACACCAGAACCATATATTAAAAAGACAGGATTTCAAATGCAATGATGTATTTGTTAAAATAAAAACACCCCGTCAGTTTCACAAGTAACATGTCAAGTCAAAAAGAGCCATGAAACGTTATATATTTTTTCGGATATGAAGTCTATACCTTTTCTATAGCAGTTTAGCATATCCTGAAGTAAGACCATTGTTTCCTGAAAACAGTGAAAAAAGAACATTAGGCATACGACACGTCAGTTAGGGACCGACCATTCGATCTTCTGGGGACGCTGAACCAGGTGAGCTGTAAATGCTATCTATATACATATTTTATGAATATGTTATGGATTGTGAATAGATTTTGCATGACGGATGACGTACGACATACAAAGAAAGATGGGGCAAAACGTCACATAAGCCTTTCGGCCATCTTGTATGTATATTGACAATAAATTAAGCTAACTAGAGCTGTCCTATGGGGAATAAAAATCCTCCTGTAGACGTTTGATATTGTTAACATCCAAACGTCCCTCTGCAATCGCATTGGAAGAGCTATGGATTTTTTTAGTTCATATGAAATGGGGTAGAGTATTTAAAAGAGCAATCAGAGGCCACTTTTCCATTGACACGGTAAAAACAAAGCCTGTGTGGTCGAGTTTGGAGTCCCATAACATGTCAATACACAAAATTTGAATGAAATCGGACAATTTCAAAATTTTGACCAATCAGATGCCTCCGTTCTGTTGCATGTTAACACAATGGTACGTCAAACAGTGTCCTTAGCTACACCTACATACACATCTGAAAGAAATCAATGTAGTAGTTAAGAAGCTGTCCAGACAAATTGAAATGTCAAAGTAATAAAGGGCAATAACTCCATCGAAATGAAAAAAATATTTGAAATGTGCCAATTCAGTCAATTAGTTCAGAAGGAATTTATTTTCTACGGACAGACTGTCAGACAGCCGGACATGCTGATTCCATTATATGCTCTAATTAATGAAATAATATTCACGAGGCTTTTCAAAAGGACTTCATAAATACATATTTACTGATTTAGATGTTTGAGACCTGCAAATTACAAAATGGTGACTGTGAGACCATCTTGGATTTCTGAATGAGGTTATATTACTGGACCTTGTGTTGATCATCCATACCTAGTTTCATAAAGAGCACTTATTAGAATTTTGGGGAAATGGTCTTAAATCGGCCTTATTATCTAAATTAAGACCAAGCAGAGGACTCCATTCTGTTGCTATATTAATAAAATGTGCTTTGAGTGCAAAAATATATCTAAATATCTTTTAACCAAATTTTAACCAATCAGATGCCTCGGTTACCTTGCCATGATGGTAAGAAAACCTATTCGGCTGGTACCTTTGTACCAAGATGGAACAAAATCGGCTAAAAGACATGTAAGTAATGACCACTTAAAAAACCCCCCGTAAATATCTACCAGGTTGTCATTATTGAGAGGTTGTTGGCATAACAAAGGGTCAGTGCACTTAAACAAGTTCCCTGGATCTTCTATATGTTGTTCCTGAGAAAACGCACAAAGTTGGAGGAAGAATATAGAAACCGAGCAAAAACAATTGAAAAATGTTAAAATAGCAAAAAGTACCCTACATTTCCAATCAAACTTTGTTTATAATTTCTTTTTACAATAAGGGGCGAGTAATGCTGGAGTAATGCAGGATAAGTAAAAAAATTAGTAAAATCTAAATATTTTTTACATTTGTGTACTTATCCTGCATTACTAAAGCCAATGAATCATTTGATAAGTCAGCTGAGCCTGCTGAGGAGTCTGAGCCATAGTTGAATGGTCGAAGTATTGGAAAGTGACTATGGGAATCAGCATCTAGAAGTTTTAGCCTCGTGAGTGAGACTGACGAGATAAGGTGGCGTCCTCTCACGCACCCAAAGAGGGACGAGATTGGTGATGATAAAGTCCTCATGTGTTTACTAAGCGGAGCAATTAACACGGGAGCTGACATTGACATCGCTAACTGTGCCGGCGCCGGTGGTATAATCGGAGGCGCCACGTGCATTGATGGTGCCAGCGTATACAATAGATTAGTGGGTGCCAAGGGCGCTGATACTGTGAAGGGCAGGGGCGCTGCAGACGCCAGGGGTGCTGAGGGCGCTGATACTGTGAAGGGCAGGGGCGCTGCAGACGCCAGGGGTGCCGAGGGCACTGATACTGTGAAGGGCAGGGGCACAGCAGACGCCAGGGGTGCCGAGGGCGCTGATACTGTGAAGGGCAGGGGCACCGCAGATGCCAGGGGTGCTGAGGGCGCTGATACTGTGAAGGGCAGGGGCGCTGCAGACGCTGGGGGTGCCGAGGGCGCTGATACTGTGAAGGGCAGGGGCGCTGCAGACGCCAGGGGTGCCGAAGAAGTCGTCTGAATCACAGATGGTGGTTACATGAATTGCATTCAGTGAACCCAGGCGGGATCCAAATACAGAATTGAGCTGAAACCGGGAGGCATGAGAGGTGGGTAATACTGGACGTGCCCGTGCTGGGCAAACCGCACAGTGATGCCAGGGGCGCTGATGACACAGAGGTAATTTTAGAAGCAGTCATGGATACATGAGCGCTGTAATTAGAATAGATATGTGTGGCATTGTAACTCAAAACTTACAATGATAGAAATGTATTTATTACATGAAACAAGAGCTAAGATAGACTCTAAATTATCAAAGCAAAGGCCATGTAAACAGAACATCGTGCCAAAATAGATGGCGGAGGGTATAACAGATGAAATGCGCGGGAAAACCTAGAGAAGACAAACGCTATCGTATGCCTAAACGGACCACCCTCGTACACCAGACTAAACTGTACATGATAAAGAACATGTTGGTTATCCAAGGATATGTAAAAGGATAAGCCGAGGATGTCTGTCAATCTGTCAATGTGATACTACGTGACGTCACAGCAAGTCACGTGGGGTCAGAAATGAGGGTGCAAGCCACACAACTTGGTAGGGACAACTTGTTCTGTAGCCAGGACCTCTCACAGATCCGTCTCAGAAGGTCAAGAACATAGCAGTAGAAGCATTATGCAGGATAAGATAATAAATTAGACTTGTTAAATCACCTATGGGAAGCCGTAACAACGGATGCTGTTCTTGTGACCATAGACGTGAAAAGTTATATACTAATATACCTCATGATCTAGGACTTAAAGCAGTACAATTTTGGTTAAATAAGCATCCAGACACTGTTGACAGCAACTTCATACATATGTTCATCATGTAATCTTTGAAATGTATACTGGTGAAGAATGTTTTATTTCAACAAGAGAGAGTTGAGCACACTTCAGCTTCTTAGCAGCCTAAATTCAACCAACCTCTAAGTGTGTTACCTAATCAGTACAGACTGTGCACTAACTAAGTATGTTATAACTGACAAAGTGGCATTTGTAAAATTCTCCTGAATTAAATAATCTGGAGTGAATACATGATTGACAGATCAGGCACTGGACTCCGAGATAGTTAGTCCTACACTTCAGTTTAAAGGATGTTAAGGGCAATCATGTGTGATCAATAATATAAGAATTGTTTTCAGCTGTGTATACACACTGTAATGGATTGTTCAATTTCGTGGTATTACATGCATAATGGTCATAAATCTCACCACAACATCTGGGAATAGCATAGATGCCTTTGCTGCCATCAGTGCTCCATTGCCGCCAATATATAGCTGTATCAACACACACACATGTCATTACATAGAAATCATACAATATTGATTGTTACTACACTACAGCTGGCCGACCTCGCATTGATTACTACCTCATCATAATCAGGATACTCCACAAGTAGGAGCAATAACAGGCTACCAGGACATTCTAAGTCAGGCCTGTGGACGTAGATCTTTTAGACACCGACATCATTTATTTCTTACATAATTAATAATTCAGCAAACCAGTTAACCACGGCATATGATTATTTGTTAGAAAGTGTTTGTTGGCAGTGATGTGGACAACACTTCTAAGAGGATGGGATGCATGGGGAAGTGAGGGGTGCATGGGGAGGATGGGATGCTCAGGGAGGGTGGGGCGTGTGGGTAGGGTGGGATGCATGGGGGAGTGAGGGGTGCATGGGGAGGATGGGATGCTCAGGGAGGGTGGGGCGTGTGGGTAGGGTGGGATGCATGGGGGAGTGAGGGGTGCATGGGGAGGATGGGATGCTCAGGGAGAATGGGGTGTGTGGGTAGGGTGGGATGCATGGGGGAGTGAGGGGTGCATGGGGAGGATGGGATGCTCAGGGAGGATTGGGCGTGTGGGTAGGGTGGGATGCATGGGGGAGTGAGGGGTGCATGGGGAGGATGCGATGCTCAGGAAGGGTGGGGTGTGTGGGTAAGGTGGGATGCATGGGGGAGTGAGGGGTGCATGGGGAGGATGGGATGCTCAGGGAGGATTGGGCGTGTGGGTAGGGTGGGATGCATGGGAAAGTGAGGGGTGCATGGGGAGGATGCGATGCTCAGGAAGGGTGGGGTGTGTGGGTAGGGTGGGATGCATGGGGGAGTGAGGGGTGCATGGGGAGGATGGGATGCTCAGGGAGGATGGGGCATGTGGGTAGGGTGGGATGTATGGGGAAGTGAGGGGTGCATGGGGAGGATTGGATGCTCGGGGAGGGTGGGGCGTGTGGGTAGGGTGGGATGCATGGGGGAGTGAGGGGTGCATGGGGAGGATTGGATGCTCGGGGAGGGTGGGGCGTGTGGGTAGGGTGGGATGCATGGGGGAGTGAGGGGTGCATGGGGAGGATGCGATGCTCAGGAAGGGTGGGGTGTGTGGGTAGGGTGGGATGCATGGGGGAGTGAGGGGTACATGGGGAGGATGGGATGCTCAGGGAGGGGTGTGGTGCATGGGTAGGGTGTGGTGCATGGGAAAGTGAGGTGTGCATGGGGAGGATTGGATGCTCAGGGAGGGTGGGGTGTGTGGGTAGGGTGAGGTGCATGGGAAAGTGAGGGGTGCATGGGGAGGATTGGATGCTCAGGGAGGTGGGGTGTGTCGGTAGGGTGGGATGCATGGGAGAGTGAGGGATGCATGGGGAGGATGCAATGCTCGGGGAGGGTGGGATGTGTGGGTAGGGTGGGATGCATGGGGGAGTGAGGGGTGCATGGGGAGGATGGGATGCTCAGGGAGGATGGGGCGTGTGGGTAGGGTGGGATGCATGAGGGAGTGAGGGGTGCATGGGGAGGATGCGATGCTCGGGGAGGGTAGGGTGTGTGGGTAGGGTGTGGTGCATGGGAAAGTAAGGGGTGCATGGGGAAGATGGGATGCTCAGGGAGGATGGGGCGTGTGGGTAGGATGGGATGCATGGGGGAGTGAGGGGTGTATGGGGAGGTTTGGATGCTCGGGGAGGGTGGGGCGTGTGGGTAGGATGGGATGCATGGGGGAGTGAGGGGTGTATGGGGAGGTTTGGATGCTCAGGGAGGATGGGGCGTGTGGGTAGGATGGGATGCATGGGAAAGTGAGGGGTGTATGGGGAGGTTTGGATGCTCGGGGAGGGTGGGGCGTGTGGGAAGGGTGGGAGGCATTGGGGAGTGAGGGGTGCATGGGGAGGATGGGATGCTCAGGGAGGGTGGGGCATGTGGGTAGGGTGGGATGCCTGGGGGAGTGAGGGGTGCATGGGGAGGATGGGATGCTCAGGGAGGGGTGTGGTGTGTGGGTAGGGTGTGGTGCATGGGAAAGTGAGGGGTGCATGGGGAGGATTGGATGCTTGGGGAGGGTGGGGTGTGTGGGTAGGGTGAGGTGCATGGGAAAGTGAGGGGTGCATGGGGAGGATTGGATGCTCAGGGAGGGTGGGGTGTGTGGGTAGGGTGGGATGCATGGGGGAGTGAGGGATGCATGGGGAGGATGGGATGTTCGGGGAGGGTGAGATGTGTGAGGAGGGTAGGGTAGTGTGGGGTGTGTGTGGAGGGAAGATGGCTAGGGAGTTAGCAAACTTGAGGGAGGTCAAGGAAGGATTTGGCCATGATGATCAACAGTGACAGTAACCTTATGGTTAAAACTATTACTGGCATATTATTAGTATTATTTTCATAATGATGAACTAACATGACTTTGCATAAAAAACAAAATGGAAAAGCTCTTGAAGTGGTCATTAAAACAATGACATACATAAACATTAATACAATGACATGTACATTTGAGTGGTGTTTGGTGAACCCAATTCTCCAACCCCTCCAGCACCCAGCTAAATACTGTCAAACATCACAATCAGCAATATTCCTGTCATATCAAGGTGGCCTGTAAATGACCAAGTCTGGACCAGGCTAACCAGTGATTGAGAGCATGAGCAGCAACTCATGCCATTGGAACACACTGACACAATCAGCTGAATGAGTCTGACCACCTGATCAATTTCAGTCAACTCTTACGTCAAGCATAGTATATGCATAGATTACCAAAGATTAATACCACCACCCCCTACCAATACCAATGAGGGAGATAACAAGACACAGCAGCCATACTCAACATATGTAACATGTTCTTTGCCCTAACAAAGCATCTCTGACACAAACATGATACCTCTTTCGTCTTGAATGTCTCTGCCTCCTCAATAACCTGGAGGAACGGTTCTGGCACTGTGAATGTTCTCTCTGCTGCTGACCCCTTGCGGAAGAAGAAGGCAAATGTCTCCTGCAGGTCCCTGATGCTGGAGAGAACCTGATGATTGATGGGCCTCCCTGGTGCCACGCCCAGATTCCGCAGCAGCTGGACACCCGGGACAATGAGGTCTACATTCGAATTGATTCTAAAAATAGAGGAGGAACGGGTCTACAAATTAATATATGTGCCATCCCCTATAGCCTAAAGAGTAAAGTGCTTCATGAAATTTATGAGTAACCAACCTTTGTGATTAAAAAACCCTGTCAACACATGGTCAATGCTAGTTGTGACATAATCATGATAATAGTGTTCCCGTTTACCGGTAATTGCCAGTATTTTACTGGTAAAATTAGGCATGGACCAACCATGGTAATTCATGTGACTGCCAGTCCCTGTGGACTGGCAAATTAAGTACCTTATAAATCTTTGTTGTTGAACAAAACATTGGTGATATTCCTATAAGTACATTTTTCGAACAAAGGCAGCTTGTCTGTTACCATCAGGGTTTCCCCTTGTCTATTTCTAGGTTAAATATCCAATGACTGAAGTTTGTGTGAATGACATATAGATCTAACTAAGTTACTTCAGAGATGACATCTTTGCACTGAACATGAAGATGAAAGAATTAAAACCAAATAATTTTTATATGTTTTTTTTATTTGTTGAAAGTTGGGACTGACAAAAATTACGGGGGACTGGTACTTGTTAGAGTTGCCAGTCCACTAGGACCGGCAGTTTCCATAGCCAGCGGGAACACTGAAATTCTCTTTATTAGAATGTCACAAGTAGCACTGACTAGTGTTTGAAAGGGTAGTTTACATAAACATGTTAAATGAACACAAATGTTATATACAAAGTGGTGAGAGTCTGGTATCATCTTGAATACTAATTATCATCACAAACCCATTTCACTGAATATCAACATGATCTAAGGTGTCAAAACAAAATCAAAATGTTTACATTTAGATACATGGAGATAAACCACATTTCAGCACAAGCTAATTTGCATATCCCAGGATCAGACTTTTCTTAATTTTTCTCAAACAGGCACGCTTATTATGAAATCATAGCAAACAGGTCTTTTGGAAGCCTTTCATTGCGTTTTGCAGTTTGTTTTGAATAATAATAAACATATTTGACTACAACAGTGACAGTGGGACATGACCAACATATCTTTACACGTTAAAGTGACTGTACCTTTGACCCTCTGCATAGTTTTACCACATTCTAAAGCACACATAAGTTTTGAACTGCACATTAGTATACCTTTCCCTACCATGCATACAGTTACAAGTTACAAAAGCACTTGCTTGCTTTTCAGATCTGCCGACTATAAATTTTGTTTGAATGGAAAAGAATATATTCAGAATTTGCTAGTGTACACTTCAGTGGGTCCTTGTTTAGAAAATATGTTTTTGGTACACTATTCACTGTAGTAACTTACAACAGTGAATAGTGTACCAAAAACATATTTTCTAAACAAGGACCCACTGAAGTTCACACATATTAATCATGGGAGTCAAAACATAGTTTGTTGTTCGTGAAAATATCAAGAGCTGGTTATCAAGGCCAGTTCAGAGCAGGATACTAAATAACCAGTGTTAGGTGATTTTCCAGTCTCAGCTAGACTTGTGAAAAGAATTCAAGTTTACAAATTAGCATATTTACTGAAATATCGAACAATAGTTATCATTGTTAATAATTCTAAGAACACTACCACTATTACATCTCTGCCAAAAATCCTGTATTTTGGCTTCAATCACACTAACTAAAATTTTCAGATTTTCAACAGACGTCCTCTTCACTGTCAATCACACAATTAGTTGTTGTCAAGTAGTCTCGTAACAAACCAAGCCATGACGTAATAATGGCAACAACATCACTTTTCCCTCATCTCCTACTAGAGGAAGATGAATTGGGGATGTGGGAGGGAGTAATTTGGATGTAATAGAGGTAGTATTCTTAGGATTATTAACAATGATAACTATTGTTTGATAATTCTTATGAAACTTCTACCTCTATTACATTTCTGCCAGAATACACCAGAGGGAACCGGTGGGATCTGCCTCAAGTAACTCCCTGTGACAGCAATCCTCTTCTGGAAACCATTATCAACTGATTCTAATCCTATAAGAGACAACAAGAAGTACATCTTGGTATGACATGGCCGGGAATAGAACCCCCAACTGCTCTCCATGCAGATGGTCTACAACTAAATTATCGTTGCTGAGAACAGAGAGGTGTATGTTGTACAAATGCCTTCCCAAGTGCTTGCTTATTACATGTTTGACAATAGGGTTATCATGGTTATGTGTTTGACAAGCAGCTCCAGCCTGGGTCCAGGTTGGCTCACATGTATGGTGTAGTAACAAAGGACATTTCTTATTTCTGATCTTTCCTTCAATACTGCTTTTCCTGCTTAAATATTATCACAATATTATGGACAAAAAAATATTTCACCCGCTTAAAACTGCATAGATGTGACATATTACATACTTGTTCATATATCTCCTTGTTTTCCCTCTATGGCTTAAAATTGGTGGTGAATTACATTATCCTCAAAAAAAATTTGTGAACAATATATAATGAACTACTGTTGAAAGTCGTTGTGACAAATATCAGCACCATTACCTGGGCACCTTAAGGGCATGGAGTTCTCATCACTTGGGTTAAGGATCTTCATTTCAATTCTTATTTTAGTGGTCAGAATAAAAATATAAAGTAAAATGGTTGAAAAAAGTTTTTTAGGTGATTTATGAAAAGAACTTTTGCTCTGATGAAATAAGGAAAAAGACATGACACAAAATCTTAATATCATTCAATGTGCACTGTGATGTTTGAAAAGTTTGGTTGACAGATCCATTAAAAAATTAACTGAAAATAACTTTTATCCTACTTATTAGCATTTGCAAGCACAATCTGTGAACATGCTGCTTTGAACTTTGAAACAGTATTTGAGTTAGGTAAAGGAACATCTAAAATGTGAAATGAACATGTAACACATTGTCCTAAACTCCTCCCCAATCAGGCCAAGAGCTTAAAAGATTATTGGACCTGAGCCTCAGTAGTTTGAAAGCTTTACAAAAATATGCATATGAATAATTCTCAATCCATGACAGCCACAAATACTTTCTTTCAACCTATTTAGAGTTCCTAGTTTTATTACTAATTTACTTGCACCAAACTGTGACATCTACTTCTAAAAGATCATTGGATACACCATGTGCAAACTTGCACCCTAGGATTCCTGTTTCTTTTTTATTTTTATTTTATTCCACTTTTTTCGTCGTACAGCATTTCATACATATTAATAATCATACAGCGAATTTTAAAGCAACAACAGAATCATACATCATACATCATGGGGGCATATGAACTCAGATAATTCAGTATTTGAGTTGATATGGTTACAAAAATAGTTTGTGGCAACTCGACCAAAACTTCACAAACTTGTTGTAGTTACAGTTAGAGTAAGCTATCGCTTTAGTTATAAAGTAGTAGTTTGCCAACTCTCTCTGGATCAACTCGAAAGACATTTTTTCTTTTTAAGATAAAATTTGAATATAGTATCCTTAATGACAAGGCATATAGCATTTAATGGATCATTTCCTTTAAATGGAAAGCCCGGTAAAACGTTTTCTTTGGTGAAATTGATATGAATTTCTGCCTTATTATTTATCCATCGTTCACGTTCGGCCCAGAGAGAGTTAGCGTTTTCACAATTCCATAGTACATGAGAAATGTCAGCAATAACTTTATCACAACTTGTACACAAGGGAGAATCTTTATATCCCACTTTAAATAGGTATTTACCAACTTGAAGTATTTGATAAATGATTCTGTACTGAAGCCAACGCAATTGCACACTATCAGTACATCGAAAGGGTATTTCATTTACATTTTTCCATTCATAATCTGTATAATATTTTATATCATTTTCCCATTGCTGATTGGCTGATGTCCTCTGCAATTTTGAATTCAATAACACATCGTAATTACATGAATGTTAAATGGTAAAATTGGGGCTACCAATGGTGTAACATCATAAGTTTCTAAAGATTTTAAATAAACATTTATAGCATTTCTTACCCTGTAAAAGGTTAAACGATTACACGAAACATTGTATCTATTCTCAAATTCTAAGTATGAAAGAAGTCGGCCCTCATGATCTACCAAATCATTGATATATTTTACTCCCACATCATCCTACTTGTTAATAAATATATATTTCCCATCAATCTGCACATTGTCATTGTACCATATATACTGGGAATAAGCATCTTTTCGTGTTTTCTTATGATTTTCTATATATCGGCCCCAAGACGACACTACATCTCGCCAAAAAGGATTTCTGATAGTTTTGACGATGTGGTCTCATGTATTTTGCATCCATTTGAAAAATATCAGATGGGATAATATTAGCCTCAAATATAAACGATTTAAGGGTAGTATTTGATAGATGTATGTGACGAAGCCAAGAAATATTTTGAGATGCAATAATATCTTTCACTAGGGGTACTTTAAAACCACCGTTAGGAATATTGTTCATTACCCTTTCCCTTTTAATTTTATTCGGTTTTTCATTCTAAATAAATCTGAAGCAATTTGCTTGAAATTTATTTATAATATCTTCAGATGGAGCAGGAACAGTAGAAAACAAATGATTAAGTTTTGGTAACAATAATGATTTCAATATTGTATTTTGTCCAAAGGGTGTAAGTATTCTACTTTTCCATAATTGCATTGAATTTTTTATTTCTTTGAACTTATCGTTATAATTAATGTCTACCATATTTTCAAGATCAGTATCAAATTTAATGCCCAATACCTTAAAGTTATCAGTCCAATCCGTTTTCATTTTGGGGAGTAGTTTTATCCGACTATGTTTTTTTTAACCAATCCATATCAACTTAGTTTTGTCTATATTTACTCGTAAGCCCGAAAAACGTTAAAAAAGAGTCAATGTATTAAAAACAGCTTGTAAACATCTTTCTGTACCATCTTATATTAAAGTTGTATCGTCTGCAAACTGAGCTAATCAATAATCAATAGATTTTAATCCTTTGATAATTTTGTTTTTCTTAATCAATCTGGTTAATATCTCAGTACATATGATAAAAATATACGGGGAAATTAGGTCGCCTT